GTGAACAAGCCGGGGCGGGGCGGAGGGGGGGGACACCATCAGGAAAACGTCCCAGGTCCCCAAGTGGATCTCAGCTGGGGGAGCCCAGACCCAAGCCCTAGCGCCAAGCACCGGGAGGAGGCTCGGGTGTATCTGGGAAATGTTAAAAATGAGTGCACAGAGCTGCTCTTGGAATTCTTCATTAGCAGATGTTTAAAAGTCAGCGCTCTAAAATTACTCGCAGAAGCTTATAAATATGAATTTCCTGTAATTCACATTTTATAAGAATTTCTATCAGCTGTGTCACAGCTTGAAAAATACCAAAAACGCATTAGAAAAATCTTTCTGTTTAAACATATATTGCGGTCATTCATTCACGCTGCTCTCGTGTCCCCACGGATGGTCCTGGTCCCTTCCTTGAGGGCAGAGGCCTGGGCAGCTGGTATCGTCCAGGCCCCTGAAGCTCCGTGGAAGGGAGACAGCCTGAGGGGAGCTAGAGGGAGGCCCTAACCAGGCGTGACCCTGGGCAAGTGGCTTCGTCGCTGAGCCTCAGTTTTCCCCTCTGTTTAATGGGCATGATGACTCAGGGGGCTCATGGGACGACAGAAAGAGGCGAGTGAAGGAGCGAAGACATCGACTAATACCCTCTTTGGGGCAGCCCACCCCTTCCCTCGCCCTCGCTGGCACCTTTAGTGGGTGGAGGTGCCCCCTTTGCCCCCCACCCCCCGCCCTGAGCGGAACAGAGCCCCACTCGACAGCGTGTGCGGGACAGAGACCCTCCCCGACCCCTCCAGCCCCATCTCCCACATCAGGACACACTCTGGAGAGCTTGCCAAGAGCAGATTCTTTATTAATTTCTTTTTTTCTTCTTCTTTAAAAAAAAAAGGATTCCTTCAGTATAAAAAAATAAATATTTTAAATATGACATTGAATAAATAAAAATAATTCTGTCAGTATGAAACATTCCCACAGGGTACATTCATCACAGAGGAATTTGTCCCCAAGGCCGAGTCCTCTCCAGTGGACAGGACGGCGGGAAATCCGGGAGGACGCACGGAGCACGGAGCTGGTGGGGTGGGTG